ATATATTATTCACTATAAAGCACACAAAAATATTAATACGATTTCGTATACTATTTTATGTTTTTTTTATGTTTTACTATTACTTGTTTTTATTTTGTGTATTATTGTGTAAGAGAATATAAACTACAATTTTAATTTAAAATAAAAAAAATTGAGTGTGCACATTTAATAGTTTGTATTTTTATTTATATTTATAATCTGAATTTTTTTATTTGTTTGAAAAAGTATTTTTTAAATTGTTCTGCATTTAAATATCAGCTATTAGATACCAGCCTTGTCTACTGCTATTATTTAATAGTTCGTGTTAGTTCTTCAGTCAGAAAAATTAAAATTTATTTAATGTTAGGCCTATTTTATAATGAGAAGATGCTACTTATGTTAAAATCCGCCGAGCGTGCTACTTCCTTTTTTTATCGCAATGTGTCAGCTAAACGCCGGTATGCGACAGTTAAATTTTTATAAAAAAGCGGGGTGCTGTTGTTCTTAAAAATAATTTGTTTACTGTAGAGTCCCCAAAAATATAAATCTCCATACGTTTGTTATTTCGACATTGTGGAGATAAAATTTTAGCGGTGTTCAAAGTTACTTGTTTTTAAATCGGTTAATATTGTGTGGAAGACTATAATTAAAATTAATTAAAAATTAAATGCTTTCTATACCAAAACAACGTATAATTGTGTGCAATCCAACATTTAAAAAAGAAATCAAGTATTTAAGCTTGAGGCAAGTATTTTCTATGGAAAAACATTGCCAAGCATTGAAAATACAGAACCCGAAAACAAAATGCTGTTTTTAAGCACCAATTTTCAAGACCGAAATTACTAGGTGTCTGAACTTTTCGGTATACAATCAAGTATGAATAATTATAAAATGTACTCATATGTGTACTAAAAACGAAAGATTTAATAATAATAAAATGAGAAAGTTGAAGGCATCATTTAAGGACGAATAATTCCTAAAGCAATGTATATTTATAGCAAATTTAAATGGGGTTTTAATTATGTGCTAGTAAGATAATTAAGTTTTGGAAACTGAAATAAACGAGATTTATCTATATAATATGAATTATTTTAAGTTTACATACGATTTGAAGCTCACGGGCATTACCACTGTTTACTTTATGCTCTTTATATACCGAGCACTTTTAGAATAAACAGTTTGAAATTAATAGATATTTAAATACAAAATGTGCTTAATGTGAAACATTTTTAAGCACGAACATTCCTAAATGGTAAGCATTAGATCGTTCTTAACTCAAGGCTAATTGTACTTGATTTTAGAACGGTGTTTTTTCCCAGAGGGTATATTTTTTATTATAAAAGATTTTTAGCTTTGGGAATTTTTATTTAGCTGCGATTAATTTTAAGTTTAGTCCAAAGCTATTAATTGTTAGTTGGTGTTAGTTCATCTGTCCGAAAAAATAATTTAAATTAATTTGTGTTTGAGGGCCATCCTAGTATAAGATGAAATTTATGTGTCGTGAGTATTGTTGTTCTCTTCTAACGAATTGGGCTAGCAACACGCCAATCGCATCGTCTGCGTTCTGTTAAATTTGCTGCGTGCGGATCGCAGCCCTCATCTAACGAATTGGGCTAGGGAGTCTTGACATTGTCTTCTTATAATGATTCATAAAACATAAAAAAATGTATATATTGTGTTAGTTCTAGCTTTAAAATACTTTTTAAAATTTTTTTTATTAACATAGGCATTTTTAAGTATTTGTAATCCCTTGCAACAAGCAAATATATTTTGTTTCTTATAGCGAACCCAAAAATAACTAGCTGCATTTGTATATTATTTTAAACCTTGTAGCGATATTAGTTATGCCGCGTTCTAAGTTACTTGTCCTAATTCGTGTAATATTGTTTGGAAGAATAGGAATTTAGTTTAAGATTTAAAACAAAACAAATTTTTTCGGAAAATTTAAACATAATTGTATGAAATGAATTAAAGTGCATTCTTATTGATTGTATTATAAAAATGTTTTTTTCATTGAGATTTTTTTTGTTTTAGCCGAGACTAGTTTATAGCCTTGTCAATGGCTACTTATAGTTGGCTGGTGTTAGTTCATGTTTCGGAAATAATAAATAATAATTCGTAAGGACCACCCTAATATAAGAAAATGCTAAATGTTACACTGGCGTCGTGCATCTTTTGCTTTCCTCTTCTAACAAACTAAAAGTTTGCCGCTGCGATTGACGCATTGCTAGCACAATTCGTTAAACAATACGCACACAGCCATTTAATAAAGACATATGCGTCGTAGACCACTGTATTTCTGTTACAATTCGTTAGAAGAAGACCGCAATACGCTCGCCGCCATTTGAACATAAACAAGATCTTAGATTATTGGCCCCGAACACATTACTTAAATTTTTCCGACATGAAATAACACCAAATAATAGCTATGAATAACGCTAAAAACTAATCGCAGACTAAATATAGAAATGAGTATAAATAAAAAATTCGTTTATTAAGAGTTGTGGATACGGAATGCAATTATTTTTAAATTCGGGGACAAAATTAATCTAATTTTTAATTGAAACTTAGGTAACTTTGAACAGCTCTAAAGAAATATCGCTACAAGGTTTAAGTAATATACGAATGCAGCTTGATATTTAAGGGTGCTCTATAGTAAATAAATTATTTTTTATTGTTGCGACGCAGAACAACCACTTTAAAATAACTTTGTTAATTAACTATTAGAAAAATTATTTTTTAATAATAAAAATATTGCAAATTTAATTGTAATAATCAATAATATTAATTGTAACAATGTCGAGACACCCTAGAGTTTTTCCTTAGAAGAGAACAGCGTCTGGCTCTCCGGCGTTTTATCGGAACTTGGACGCTGCGGTTGGCGTGTTGCCAGCCCAATTCGTTAGAAGAGGAAAACAATACCTACGCCGCCATTTTATTAAGGCCTGCGCGTCGTGAGCCGGCGTATTTCTGACACAATGCGTTAGAAAAAGACAGCAATACGCTTGTCGCCATTTTAACATATATAGCATCTTATTTAGTGTGGTCCCAAAACATATTATTTTAATTTTTCCGACATATGAACTAGCACCAAACAAAATCTATGAATAACGCAAAAACCTGACAAAAAATATGGAGCTGAACATATTTTGCCCGAGGAAACTCATAAATTTAATGGAAAACAAGGAAGAACGCTATAGTCGAGTACCTCGACTATCAGATACCCGTTACTCAGCTAAACAGACCAAAGGAAAATTGAGATATGCAAGCAGCAAAGCGAGATTGAAATGCGCCACCTACCGGCGGTAAACCGATTTAAGCGATGTGGGCGTTCGGGTGGGCGTGGCAAAGTTTTTTTTGGATCAATCTATAGGTATTGACGAGACCATTACATTTCAGTTAAAATTTTTTATCTAGCATGAAAATTGTGGGCGCCACAGGCTTGGGCGGCTTATCGGCGTTCGAGTGGGCGTGGCATATTCGCGTAACAAACATGCGCTGGGTACAAGGCTACGGAATCTAAATCTGAGAGCCCAATTCTCTATCTTTGATATTTTCCGAGATATCCGCGTTCATATTTACGATTTTTTAAAGTTTGTGGGCGTTAAAGTGGGCGTGGCAAACTTTTTTGGGTCAATCGATAGGTATTGATGAGAACAATACATTTCAGTTAAAATTTTTATTCTTGCATCAAAACTGTAAGAGCCACAGTTTTGGGCGGTTTGTAAGCGTTAAAGTGGGCGTGGCACTGTACTGAAATAAACTTGCGCTGCGTAAGAAGCTCAGGAATCTGCACGCCAAGTCTCAATAGCCTAGCTCTCATAGTTTCCGAGATCTCAGCGTTCATCCGGACCGACAGACAGACGGACATGGCTAGATCGACTCGGCTAGTGATCCTGATCAAGAATATATATACTTTATGGAGTCGGACACGCTTCTTTCTGCCTGTTACATACTTTCCGACGAATCTAGTATACCCTTCTACTATACGAATAACGGGTATAAAAATCGTTAGACACTTATGAAAAGGGCAAAAATCTGTCAATTATGTAAGTCTCCTTAATCTACACGAAAATGATTTGGAACGTTATCTGCCCGAGATAACTCATAAGTTTAAGGGAAAAAAATCGTTAGCCACTTATGAAAAGGTCAAAAATCTGTAAATTATGTAAGTCTCCTTAATCTACACGAAAATAGGTTGGAACGTTATCTGAGGTTGTTAGCTGGTAAAAATCAGTCATTTTTTTTTAGCTGAGACATACGACAAAAATATTATCGGAAAAATTCCAGTTCTTGCATTAATTATCAATTCACATTTTGAACTAAAAAATATTAGTTTTTTGTCCGAGGCAACTCAACAAATGGTCCAAATAAGGAATGTCATACCGCGTTGAATTTGTAATAAAATGTCGAATCGTTTGGCTTTCAACCCTGAAAACCCAAATTTTTGTCCATTTTTGGCAAAAATAAAAATAACGTTAGCCCCTTATGAAAAATTTGAAAATCGGCGAGTTATTTAAGTCTTCTAAATCTACTTGAAATTGATTTGGATCGTTAGCTGAAGTTCTAAACAACAGTAATTGTTTTAAATGAGACCCAATTTAGCCATCTTACGACAAAAATATCAACGCAAAAATTCCTGTTCTTGCCATACTTTATGAATTCAAATTTTGCACTAAATAATATTATTATTTTTTCCGAGGTAACTCAAGAAAATTTTCCAAATAAGGAATGTCATACCGCGTTAAGTTCGTAATAATATTTCCAATCGATTGGCACTCAAACCTGAAAACGGTAATTTCTGTTTATTTTTTGCAAAAAAAAATATTGTTTTTAAGGTTTTAAGGTCTTCTAAATCTACTTGAAAATTATTTGGATCGTTAGCTGAGGCTGTTAGCTGATAAAAACTATTTTTTCTTAGCTGATGCCCAATTTATGCAACTTACGACAAAAATATCAACAGCAAAATTCCTCTTGTTTCCCTGTTCCTCTCTAATATGCACTTTTCATTTTTTTCCACTCACCTGATTTTAATGTTAATCCTTGTGTGTTAATCCGTTTGTGCTTCGTTCGGCTGTTAAGAAGTAGATTTAATAAATGAGACAATAAATAAGTTATACATGCTGTATACTATATGTAAAAAATGAGCAAACTTACCTTTAATAATAAACCGCTCTTCCACGTCGCCCGTTCTCTTTAAGCAATCCCACTTCTAATGAGCACTGTTCACGCAGTTTGATCAGCAAGAAAATAAAAGAGGAAGAGCTAAAGATATGATGGCCGCCGGCGCACACTGAATGCTTCCAATTGCACTGTGCCCAAAAATACCTAGTATGAATGTTGAATTATTTTCCACTGATTATTGCTTTTGCATATATAAACATATACATATATTTAATTAGTAAAAAGTTGATAATGACTAATTTAATAATAATAAAAAACAAGAAAAGAAGTTAGCTACGGCACAACGAAGTTTTTGCCCTTGCAGGTAGTTCCCGTGGGAGCATTGTTTGTACAGAGCTTCCGATTTTAAGAAAACTAAAAACTAAATATTATAATTGTGAGATATTTGTCCATTTAAGTTAACTACCGTCCATGTTTACCGAAAACGATATATAACGGTCTATATACTATTTTGGCATTAATAATCCGATCGTTTCTATGGCAGCTATACGATAAAGTCGTCCGTTTTTATTTAAAGTTTATTCGAAATTTTGATATGTTAAACAAGGAAGAACGCTATAGTCGAGTACCTCGACTATCAGATACCCGTTACTCAACTAAAGTAACCAAAGGGAAATGGAGATAGCAGCAAAGCGAGATTAAAATGCGCCACCTACCGGCGGTAGACAGATTTAAGCGTTATGGGCGTTAGTGTGGGTGTGGCAAATTTTTTTTTGGATTAATCAATAGGTATTGACGAAACCAATGCATTACAGTTAAAATTTCACAGGCTTGGGCGGTTTGTGGGCGTTAAAGTGGGCGTGGCAAACTGTTTTTGGGTCGAACGATAGGTATTGATGAGAACCATACATTTCAGTTAAAAATTTTTTTCTAGCATCAAAACTGTAGGAGCCACAGTTTTGGGCGGTTTGTGGGCGTTAGAGTGGGCGTGGCACTCTGCTGAAACAAACTTGCGCTGCGCAGGAATCTCAGGAATCTGCATGCCTAATACCAGTATTGTAGCTTTTATAGTTTGCGGGATCTTAGCGTTCATACGGACAGACGGACATAGCTAGATCGACTCGGCTAGTGATCCTGATTAAGAATATATATACTTTATGGGGCCGGAAACGCTTCCTTCTGCCTGTTACATACTTTCCGACGAATCTAGTATACAATTTTACTCGACGAGTAACGGGTATAATAAATGGGCGAAATCGGGTTTGCATTTGTTGCAGTTTATTGGTATTTTTATGGTCTTAATCGCTGGGTGCCAGTATTGGTTCTTTTTTATAGTTATTTTGATCCCCAATTGTCTTAGGCTCTTTTGCAATATTAATTCTTTGTCGCCTTGCCAAGTTCTCATGGGAACATTTTTTTCTTGCTTGTAAATCGTCGAAATAAAAACAATTTTAATTAAAAAAAAAAAATTAAAATTAAAAAGGTTTTGAAAAACTACCCTCCCCCTTCTTTACAGGCCACACCATTGGCACACGCTCTTTTTTTTACTTGTTTTTGTTTAGTTTGCGACAATATAGTTATACCAACTTGAAATACTTTTTACATTTTTTATAATGGTATTTAAAAAATATGTCAATCATATAATCTTTTTAAGGAAACAGAGCGAAATGTATGGCAGAGGAGACGGAGAGGGAAACATTTGTTAACAATTAGTACTACTCGAGAAAGAGATGGACAATGTTTAAATATGTTATTTTGACTAACAAAATGTACCAAATCTTTTAAGTTTAAAAATCGTTCAAAATGCCGTTATCATATTACTTACCGTCTGGCTCATTTTATTTGCATCCATTGACGAATTGAAAAACAAAACAAAATATAAAAAAAATTAATTGTACATGCATGCATATATAACGTAATATCACTTTTATACCGGCACCTGATCACAATCACGAACATATATGGCGCATATGCATTTTTAAACACGCACGCCTACGCAGCACAGCTTAAACTGCGTCACTAACTGACTATATGCACTTGCATTTCTATACTTTGGTTAATGACTCCACAACATGTCGTTAGTTTAACCGTGAACTTTTCAGCCACATGAGCTGACGCATTCTACCGGTGGCCAGCTTTTAAAATAAATTGCTCGTCCGCAACGTCCGTTCTCTTTGAGCAGTCAACTTGCACTCCCTTCTACTGAGCACTGTTCATACATTTTGGTCAATAAGAGAATAAGAAAGAGCGAAACAAAATGTTGGCCGACGCACTTACTGAATGTCTCCAAATGCACTGTGCCAAAAATACCTAGTATGACTGAAGATTATATTTCATTGATTATTGCTTTTAAGTATATATATATTTATATTATTTCTAATTTTATTTATATTAATTTAAATAGAAACAGCTAATAATGATTATTTCATTAATAATGAAAAAAGAATAGAATAAAATAATAAAAATGTTGTAATAAATATTATTGTATTGTACATGACCAATATTTAATTAATAATAAATTGGAAACAATTAATAAACGCGGGGTACTTAAACATGTATTTCTTAGATTTTGAATATTTAATCTTAATTTTCTTCATATTAAACATACCCTATTTATCTGCAAGTGACCAAGAGTAAGAGAGTGGAGTGAGGAATTTAAAGTCAGAGTGATGTGGGTACACACAGAGAGAGAGAGAGAGAGAGAGGGAAAAATACGTTACATTTTCATTGAACACTGCATTAACATAAAACATGAATGGTACAAAAATAATAAATAATTTGTAGTTAATTATAAATAATAATAAAACCATTAGTAATGCAAGGTTCTTAAACAACAAGTATTTGTTGTAGTTAGATTATTACATTTTCATTTTCATCGAAGTAAGCATTCCCTTCTTTTCTCCAAGTGAGAGTTCCAGTGGTGGTGGAGAGAGAGGAGTGAATTTTAAGTCAAGGAGCAGATCGAATACTAAGAGGGGAATACTGCGCATAAAAATATGTATATATGTATATAAAGCAGAGGAATAGCAGCTTGAAAATGAATGGGCAAGACAAATGGTCTGAACGACGCCAAAAATGGTTGCGGTTAATTTTGGTTGCACATGTGTCTGGCTGCTGCTCTGCTTTGTATGTGTATTTACGCATGCATGCCCTTCAGTTCCAAAAAAAAAGTTTCACTTGTGAATCACCTTGGGAATCACCTGGGACATGTCCTCGTGCACAAGTGAAGAACAAGTGACGCTCCATATAGAAAATTGTATGGGATGTCCGCATTTTCACAAGTGAAAATTCAAATGAAAATTTTTCGAAGTCCTACGGGATTTCACTTGTTCCTTATACTCATTTTTCGTATGGCCTGTCACGTGCCGGTGACTCGTCCCAAGTGAATCACTTGGGAAAATCAGAATTTTTCCTTGAGTTTTCACTTGTGAAATCACTTGCAAGGGACACGTCCCAAGTGAATCACTTGTGAAAATCAGAATTTTTCCTTAAGTTTTCAATTAAAAAAATATAGAATTTAATTAATTTCATTTTAATTCATTTTAATTATATGGTACTATTTAGATTTTCAAAAATTGTACAATTATTGTTTCTGTTTTTTTGCTTCGTAAGCTTTTTTTTAACGTTAGACATCGCCGTTCTTAAACCTTTGTCCGGGTCCTCTGAATCCTTGGCCAACGCTCCTGAAAAAACATATGATTAAAAAATGCGTTTTATTTGTTTAATTGTATATTTACCTTTTATAGCTTGTTGCAGAATTTTTATTGGCACAAAACATTTCGTCATCCACTTTCGGCTAACGGAACCCATTGAATACCTTCAAAATTTACGTACTTTAAACTAAGATCAATGCACAACATCTTAAACTTAATGTAGCACTTACCTGGCTTTATTATATTAACTAAACGATTAAAGTAACTCTGCTACGCACCATTAAAATGGATGCTTCCCTTTCAATCACTCAAACAGAATGCACCAAGTCTTCTCACCCCTTTACTAGATTTCTTTTGTTTTCTCTTCGCTGTTGGCGCGTGCCACTGCACCTATACCCTTTCTAAAGTGAAATATATCCGACTATATAGTTTTTACTTCTTGAGTAAAAAATACAATACGATTTTTTTTTAAATGTTAATACTTAAATGTTTTAAATACTTAAATCAATTTTAAAGGACTAAATTTCTATAACTTAACTAAAAAATTATATTGTAATAAGAATGTATAATAAGTAAGTATAACATTATAAGTAAATTCAATTTACTAAATTTTACTATAATCAAATAGTTTACTTTTATAAAACAATATTAGTTGTTTTTTTCGATACACAATAATGCTCCTAAAATATTAGGGCATTCACATGTCGCTTCTCCACGAAAATTTTTCCGCCGAAATATTAGCGCTAGCCGAACATAACGGAGAGACGCAAAAAAAAATAACGGACCAGCCGAAATTTGTCTCTGCGAGCGCGGAGTGCAGGCAGATTATAAGACAAGAAAGAGAGGGAAATATCCGAATATCTGCCTCTCTTTGTTGCACGATCGTTTTCGTGGGCAGTCTTCTACGCTGCGCCGACTGCTCTGCTGACGTCAACAGCGGCACAGCGTTTTAGGCACAAAAAAAAAACAAAAAAAGCTTTTTGCCTTGAGCCATGTCACCGCGTCCCTACTGCAGAACTGAAGGGTGTACATACGTGTCGGTTCCCTGCAGTTCCCCAATTGAGTATAAGCGCCCAATCACCATTAAAATAATTGGTGTGGGCTTTAAAATACTTGTATTTCTTTAAAAGAAATGTATATGTTTATTAATATTATATGTGAATAATAATAATAATAATTATAATATATGTGAAGTTTAAAACATTTTTTTTCTGGAAGGCACGCACCTTTTTCGTATTTTTTTGCGTTGCTACGTCCTACGCTTGAAAATAAAATTTTTTAATTAGTTCTGAATTTCGTATTTAATTTTATCAAAATTAGACCACTGTATCTAACATAGCTGCCATAGGAACGATCGGAAAATTGGTGGGAAAATAATATGAAACAAAATAAAGCTTCGGTGTTTTTTTAAGTATTATCTTATACTATTGGGAATATAATTTTTTGTATTTTTCAGAATTTCGAATTAAATTTAATAATTATAACTGCAAGAGTATACATACTTCAGCCTGTCGAAGTTAACTTCCTTTCTTGTTTTTATATTTAAAAATAAATAATTAAGAAAATCATTTGACTGAAAACATTTCTTCTCTTGTTATTTAAAACTTTTTTATATTTTTAGGCAAAGCTGATGGTTAATCCATTATAAAAGGAGGCATAATTCGTTCCATTGTAAGCATATTATCCATATTATTCCAGAACCAAAAAAGCTTAAGGTCTACGCACCTTACTAAGTTAGTTTATATTCGGGCCGAAAGTAACTATTATTTGTAAGTTTAATTTTTAAAATACTTCTGGGATTTTTACTTTAAGTGCCAAAGATAACATTTCTTTTATTATAAATATAACTTACAAATAACGATTACTTTCGGTCACTCGTTTTAAAACTCTTTTTTTTCTAATACTAGATGCAATCATTTTGTTGGATCCCTCGAAGCCACCCGAAAGGGCACTGCAGATGGCAACGCGGTGCGTGAAGAATTTGAGCCCAAATGCTGGCGAGGAGGTGCCAACGACTCCGTTAGGACCGGGAACCCCTGAGCCAACATTTTAAAATAAAGAAGCAAATAAATAAAAAAACAAGGAAGAACGCTATAGTCGAGTACCTCGACTATCAGATACCCGTTACTCAAAGGGAAATGGAGATATGTAAGCAGCAAAGCGAGATTAAAATGCGCCACCTACCGGCGGTAGACAGATTTAAGCGTTATGGGCGTTAGAGTGGGCGTGGCAAATTTATTTTTGGATCAATCGATAGGTATTGACGACACCAATACATTTCAGTTAAAATTTTTTATATAGCATGAAAATTGTGGGCGTCACAGGTTTTCGCGGTTTGTGGGCGTTTAAGTGGGCGTGGCAAACTTTTTTTAGGTCGATCGATAGGTATTGATGAGAACAATACATTTCAGTTAAAATTTTCTATCTAGCATCAAAACTGTAGGAGTTACAGTTTTGGGCGGTTTGTGGGCGTTAGAGTGGGTGTGGCAGTCTACTGAAACAAACTTGCGCTGCGTAAGAAGATCAGGAATCTGTTCGCCAAATCTCAATAGCCTAGCTCTCATAGTTTCCGAGATCTCAGCGTTCATCCGGACAGACAGACGGACAGACGGACAGACGGACATGGCTAGATCGACTCGGCTAGTGATCCTGATCAAGAATATATATACTTTATGGGATCGGAAACGCTTCCTTCTGCCTGTTACATACTTTCCGACGAATCTAGTATACCCTTTTACTCTACGAGTAACGGGTATAAATATAGAAATTAAATAAAACTGTAAATATTTTTGCTGCTACGAGATGTAAAGGTGCTGAACGTGTGCTATTTTGCATCTCAAAAAAGCGCTTAATGCGTGCTAGTTTTCGAGCACTGACGAACCCTAGGACACGCCTATGTTAATTTAAGCACTCATTATACCCGTTACTCGTAGAGTAAAAGGGTATACTAGATTCGTCGGAAAGTATGTAACAGGCAGAAGGAAGCGTTTCCGACCCCACAAAGTGTATATATTCTTGATCAGGATCACTAGCCGAGTCGATCTAGCCATGTCCGTCTGTCCGTCTGTCTGTCCGTCCGGATGAACGCTGAGATCTCGGAAACTATGCGAGCTAGGCTATTGAGATTTGGCGTGCAGATTCCTGAGCTTCCTACGCAGCGCAAGTTTGTTTCAGTAGACTGCCACGCCCACTCTAACGCCCACAAACCGCCCAAAACTGTGGCTCCTACAGTTTTGATGCTAGATAGAAAATTTTAACTGAAATGTAATGTTCTCATCAATACCTATCGATTGAACCAAAAAAAAAGGTTTGCCACGCCCACTTTAACGCCCACAAACCGCAAAACCCTGTGACGCCCACAATTTTCATGCTAGATAAAAAATTTTAACTGAAATGTATTGGTCTCGTCGATACCTATCGATTGATCCAAAACAAAATTTGCCACGCCCACTCTAACGCCCATAACGCATAAATCTGTATACCGCCGGTAGGTGGCGCATTTTAATCTCGCTTTGCTGCTTGCATATCTCCATATAGCTGAGTAACGGGTATCTGATAGTCGAGGTACTCGACTATAGCGTTCTTCCTTGTTTTCATACAAATTGGTCGCTTATTAAGCGCTCTGTGATGAACTTTTCCAATGATTGAGTGCTCAATAAGCGCTGAATGGTACTGCAGGGTTC